AAAACAATAACATGCAAGTCGCAAGGAAGTCTCGACTCGCTCGACCCGCTCGACCGATCCTCGAGCCTTCTTTCGCGTGCTGTTAATCTTGTCTCACTCGTTCTTATTATCTTGCTCGCTCTCATGTATAAGATTTTTATTACAGGAAATGACTATAATTATATATGTAATATAAGTTGTTTTTATTATTATAAATGTTAAATAATAGTATAAAATACTATTAATTGTTAAATATATTATGGATAATAATATGTTTTCCTCGTCCTCTTCCTCTTCCACTTCCACCTTGTCCTCTTCCTCTTCCACCTCGTCCTCTTCCTCTTCCCCTTCCACCTCGTCCCCTTCCTCTTCCACCTCGTCTCGAGGCTCTTATTGCGTTTGCAATTATTGTACTTAATTCATTTGACTGAAATATGAAAAATAAGAAAAATATTAACAAAAAATATGTAATATATATATATATATAAAGAACGTAATATTGTAACTGCAATGATTCTAATAATATTACGTTCCTACTACTACATAATATATAAAAAATTTATAGAAATATAATATTTTACATTGTTAATTATGTAATAAAAATTTCATACTTACATTTAATGTGAAGACGCTTGGCGTCGTCGCCGGCGTCGTCACCGCCGTTGCCGTCGTCACCGTCACCGGCATCATCGCCGGAGTTGCCGGCGTCGTCGTCGCCGTCGCACAGTGGTCTGAAACGGACTAACACTTGTTCAAAATAGGCTACAGGTCGTATTTCTTAACCGATTTTAATGTTTCTTGGACAGAAATACTCGGAAATAAATTCTGAAGAGAACTGTGAGAGCCAAATTTTGATTTTTTGTGTTGGTGCAAAAATATGTAAGAAAAAATGTGTTAAACTAGCACTTTTCGACTAAATTATTTTTTATCTGACTCCAAGCTACTTTAACAACCTTACTATCGATGAAAATCAATACTGTGCCATCATAAGAAACAAAATAATTCAATAATAATTTAACTTAATTGTTATTAACAAATTATTGAAAGAAATTATGGTTCCCTGTGCTTTATCACA